ACGCTGCTCACTTCTGACACCTACTCCTTGGCTTCTGTTATGGACTCAACAGAGTGGATTGACATGACCTACTTCAACTCCATCGTCACTCCACAACCCTCCGTGCCCATTGTCATACCACCAGGACCTATCGTCGTCGGCGGCAACTCTACTTTCAATGGCACGACTCCACCGGCTGATGCTCTCATTGTCTCCAAGACACCGATTGCTGGTGTCGTGACATACGATACTATCCAAGCGGCTCTCAATGCTGCACCAACTACGAGCAAGACGAACGCTACAATCTTCATCTACCCTGGCACCTATGAGGAGCAGCTCATCATCGCCAAGTCCGGTCACACCATCTTCCGTGGATACTCCGATTCAACCGATGACTACTCCAAGAACCAAGTTACCATTCAATTTAGCCGTGGTGTGGATACTCAGGGTACCTCTGGTAGCAACACTGACGGCGCGACTGTCTACGCAAAGGGCAACTACTTCCATGGTTTCAACATCAACTTCCGAAACAACAACGGCACGCAGCAGAACATTGCTTCTCTCGGCTTCGCTGTTCAAAGCAGCAAGTTCGCAGCGTTGTATGGATGTCAGATCTATGGCAACCAGGACACTCTCAGCGTCTCTGGTAGCCTGTTCACCTTCAAGACCTACATTGAGGGTAACGTGGACTTTATCTATGGCTCTGGATCTGCGTATTTCCTGGATTCGACGATCGCCTCCAACGAAGACGGGATCAGCATCACAGCTCACAAGCGTACGACTAACACGACTGCTGCGGGCTTCGTGTTCGATCAGTCAAGAATCGTGCCTGCACCCGGATCTGGGAAGTTTAGCAGCGTCAGCCTTGGTCGTCCATGGAATAGCTTCTCTCGTGTTGCGTATGTTGGCTGCTACCTCGACGCTATGATCAGCCCGGCTGGATGGTCGCAATGGTCAAAGACCAACCCGCAAACTGATGGTGTCACATACGGAGAGTACCATAACACTGGCCCAGGTTCTGATATCTGCAAGCGCGCTACGTTCTCCCAGCAGCTTTCGGACAACGATGTTGCTCAGTTCCAGCTTGCGTCTTTCTTCGCGACGACTGCGTTCATTGATTTCCGATTCGTCGATACTCAGCCTTTTGCGATTGGTATGGGCTCGCCCCAGGTTTGCAGCACTGCATCCTCGTCCCTTATATCATCGTCAACAGTGTCCGCCAGTGTTTCGATGTCTACTATGAGTCTCATCTCCTCGAGCAGTCTACCGTTGGTCACAGCATACACCACGACTACCTTGACCGCTCCGCTTACTGCAAGCACCTTTGTTACCGCCCCTGAAGTCACTTCGACTACTGTGGTGAAGAGTACAGAGACGCTCTCGATCAGCGCCATCGATGTCATCAAGACCAGCACAATGAAGGTCACCGCGACCACCTCCATCGTTCCTCCTGACGTAACCTCTACTGCTAATTCGGTAGTAACTGAGGACGTTGGCCTCACTGTTACCCCAGAACCTATCACCAAGACTAGCGTTGTCAAGGGTACCATGACCGAAGCTGGAGTGACAACCAAAGGTGCTACGACTTCGACGGTCAAGGGCACCACGACTGTTACCGTTCTGTACACCTCTTCGCCCAAGCCAACTTCAATCACCGTCAGCGAGGGATCCACAGTCTTCATCACGAGCTCGAAGACTCAAAAGGCAGCTTCCACAACAGTCAAGACCACCATCTCGATTGAGCCGACCACCACCAAGACAACTACGGTGCAACCCAACGACTCAGTCACGATCAGTAGCACGTCCATCAAGACAACGACCAAGAAGTCCACTACCACACTCTCTTGCATTCCCACTCGCAGCGCTGAGAAGCTGGTCCGCCGAGGTGCCGTCCTTCCACGCGCCGTGGCTAGCACCACCACTGTGACCGTGAGCACCACCGTGAGTAGCTATGTAGCCACAGCTACGGCAACTCAAGCTGGATCGACTGCCTTTGTCACAGTATCGTCCATCGCCACTAAGACAACATCCCTCAAGGCCAGTACCAGCACAGTCACAGTCACATCCGTGGTGAAGACATCGACGATTGCTCAGGCAGGCTCTACTTACTACACGACCATTGTTTCAACGGAGAAGATTGGCAAAACCACGACCCTGAAGGCCTCCACCAGCACAGTCTACTCCACTGACCTCGTCACCAAGACTGTTCTTTCTACAGTCACTGAGCCAGCAGTCACTGTCAGCTCTCTCAGAACCGCTTCAAAGACTTCGACGATCCTCGCAGCGCAGGAAACCATCGTCGTCACCCAGTCGAGCGACGTGACTTCCAAGACGACGATCACGCTTCCTGTCTCTACGAGCACCAAGTTTGAGACGGTGACTCTAGGTGGCGGAGTAAAGACGGAGACCGTTACTGGGGCCCCTAAGACTAAGACTGTAGTTGCGAAGAGTACTGCGACGGTTGTCAGTCTGGTGACGAAGACGTCGAAGGGTGCGGCGGCTTGCACGGCATCGTAGATGATGTCAGAGACGTGAGGTCTAATTCTTGTACATATGTAGTGTGTAATGCTTAATGAAGAGACGCTTCAGTTTGAATGTGCTTCTACCTGAGATCTGTCGTGCTGAGTAATCGGAGCTGCGTGGGCGGTTCTCGTGGTGGAGACGAATGGGGCTAGCGCAAGCGAGGGGATCCAGGAGCTTCAGCCTCGTGCAGCCCACGTTAGAGGCGCGTCATGGCACCAAAAGTCATCGGAGCCGTCTCCTGCTCCGGCGCGCGGGATGGCGGGGGGCAGCTCAACAGCTACCGATTTTACGCTCGTGCCCCTCGATTGCGCATCGTCTCCCCATATCATCCGACGCTTTTCCTGACAACTACACCGCTTACTGAACAAGCCCGCGAGCCATTGGCAGACTCAACAGCGGGGGTCCGTTACTACACTATCTTGGTAAGCCGCCGCACCCCCGACCGACGTCCAAAAGCAACCTGGGCGGGTGGAGAAGCAAATATCGTGTACAAAAGTGGGATTGGCCGCTGGGCATGGCCATTGAGCTGTTTTCTAGTGTTCTAGCCAGCCCACACGGCCTCTTCGTCATACAGAGACTAACACCCTACGTCAAGGTCCCCACCTGTCGTTCTGAACCCTCGATTTCAGCGACACCACCGCCTCTCTCGCGATAACACCAATTCTCCCTAAACCACCCTCACAACCGCAATCATGGTGCTACTCGGCGCAAGGAAACCGCCCTCCCGCAGGGGTATGCTCCGCCCTCGCTATCGTATACAAGGACAGATGGGATAACACCGTGCTAGGCTCCATGGCGGACATGCCCAAGGATCTGAAGGAGCAGATCGACAAGCTCGAGGAGATGTTCGTCGTGAACACAGACAAGCTCAAGGCTATCTCGAACCACTTCGTCAAGGAACTCGAGAAGGGCTTGTCGGAAGAAGGCGGAAGCATTGTGAGTCGCAGTTTGCCTTGCGCTCTTCAGGATACAGCTGACTGTGATAGCCTATGATTCCCACCTGGTGTATGGCCTTCCCCGACGGTAACGAGACCGGCAGCTACCTCGCGCTCGACATGGGTGGCACCAACCTGCGTGTCTGTGAAGTCACCCTGACAGAGGAGAAGGGCGAGTTCGAGATCATACAGTCCAAGTACCGCATGCCCGAGGAGCTCAAGACGGGCACTGCTGAGGAACTTTGGGGCTACGTCGCCGACTGTCTCCAGCAGTTTATCGAATACCACCACGAAGGCGAGCAGCTCAACCACCTGCCTCTCGGTTTCACCTTCTCATACCCCGTCTCGCAAGACGCTATCGACCACGGAGTGCTTCAGCGATGGACAAAGGGTTTCGATGTCGCCGGCATGGAGGGCGTGGATGTTGTTCCAGGCTTCAAGGCGGCTCTTGAGGAGCGCGGCGTGCCCATCAAGCTTGCGGCTCTGGTCAACGACACGACCGGTACCATGATTGCTTCCGCGTACACGAACACCAAGATCAAGATCGGCTGCATCTTCGGTACCGGCTGCAACGCCGCCTACATGGAGGAGTGCGGTGATATCCCCAAGCTGAAGCACATGAAGCTTGACCCCAGCCTGCCAATGGCTATCAACTGCGAATGGGGCGCATTCGACAACGAGCACCAGATCCTCCCAAGAACAAAGTACGACGTCATTGTCGACAAGGAGTCACCACGACCTGGTCAGCAATCCTTCGAGAAGATGGTCGCTGGTCTCTATCTCGGCGAGATCTTCCGTCTTGTCCTTCAGGATCTGCACAAGGGTGGCGAATGCCACATGTTTGAGGGCCAGAACGCCAGCAAGCTCGACAAGCCCTACTCACTCGACGCTGGATTCCTATCTCAGATCGAGGAGGACCGATTCGAGAACTTGCAAGACACATGCGATCTCTTCCAAGAGAAGCTCGGCATTACTTGCACCAAGCCCGAACTCGAGCTTATCCGCCGCCTCGCTGAACTCATTGGCACACGCGCTGCTCGTCTCACCGCGTGCGGTGTTGGTGCTATCTGCAAGCACAAGAAGTGGGACGAAGTCCACGTCGGTGCCGACGGCTCCGTCTTCACAAAGTACCCCCACTTCAAGATCCGCCAAGCCCAGGCGCTCAAGGAAATCATGGACTGGCCCGCCAAGTACGGCAAGGGCAAGAACGACCCCGTCGAGGTGCTTCCCGCTGAGGATGGCTCTGGTGTCGGTGCTGCCCTGATTGCTGCGCTTACCGTTAAGCGTGCGCAGCAGGGTCAGTTGGCTGGTATTCGGGATCCGGACACGCTTCTGGCTATGGTTCCTAAGGATGCGAAGAAAGCCTAATAACTGGATGTCTTATGTTAACATATGAATGAATGATAGAATGTATATACGAAATGTGCCATATCAACCGAAGAGTTCATCCTCGCGGAGTGAAATTGGTAAACGTTATCAGCGTATTTTAAGGCAGCTAATGCACAGAAGGCCACAGAAGTAATAAGCACAGAAAGCAACGTCATTCAGGCACCGCACACATCCTCAAGCATACTGCTCCACCTGCTTCTCACTCCACTCCCAAAACGCCCTCGCCGTCTTGTTTCCCGCCTCAGACCAATACTCCTTCTTCAGCGTCCCAACCCTTCCCCATGGAATAACCCACTCGCCCTCTTTGAGCTTCGCAGCCTCAGGTGCGAGACCAGCAAACAACTCGGTATATGCACCATTAACAGTAGGGTATAAGAGCCACATCAAACAAGCATGACGCACCGGGTTCATGTTGCGTGCAAGCTCCGACTTGAGGTTTCCCGGGTTAAGCGCCTGCAGTAAATTTTCGTTAGTCGATGGATGGAAAGAAATCTCCACACGGAAATCCTTCAAAGCAGAGCGTGAGGAACAGGGGGGGAAAGAGCAAAAGAAACTTGGAAGGAAGAACGTACCAGACTAACAATCCCCTCGCCGCCATACTTCCTCTGATACTCCAAGGCGTGGAATACGTTCCCGCCTTTACTCATACCATACTTTGTCCAATTATTCACATTCTTGGTATACTCCAGATTGCTCATATCCACTCCGCCGGGTGGTGCGCTCATCTGCGACGCAATTGAACTCACCCAAATCACCCTAACACTACCTTTTGCCTCTTTCTTCGCTGTTTCCAGCAATACCGGCGTGAGTAGCTTGGTGAAGAGGAAGGGCGCTACGCAATTCGTGCCGAGTTGCAGCTCATAGCCTTGTTTCGTTGTGCTTCCAGCCGGGGGCACCATGACGCCTGCGTTGTTAAACAGAACATCCAATCGCGATTCTTTTGCGAGAAACGACTCGGCGGAGGCTTTGATACCGGATAGATCGTCGAGATCCAGATGCAGGTATTGTAAGTTTCCCTTGGATTCGGGGCATGCTTCTTTGATCCAGGATATCGCTGCGTGCGTTTTCTCAGCGGACCGCCCGGCAAGATAGACCGTCGCGTTGTGCGTGTAGAGGAGGCGCGAGAGCTCTTTTCCTATACCCGCTGACGCGCCTGTGACGATGTAGACTTTCCCGCTGAGGTTGGGGAGGGAGGTCTCCGTGAAGGCGGGGGCTGGGGGGAAGAACTGGCTGAATTGTTGGCCCATTTTGGATGGTTTGGTGGTTGTTCTGGTGATGTTGAGTTTGAAGTTATTGTAGTTCCTGGACGGGAAGATGGCAAGAGAGAGATATATGTATATATACTCAATCTCATCGTGATAGCAAGAAGTCCTCCGTCGCATCGAATTGGTACTTCGGCCGGCCCGTTGCTTAACCTTTCGGCTTCACTCCGGCATTATTGTTTATACCAACCATCTATTTTGTAAGCCTATAAGAGGCCGCAAACCTTGACGCGTAGCTGCGCTATCACGACATACCTGGAATACGCCGTGTTCTCCTCAAGTACCGTGTTTGGTGCGTGCCGTAGTCGTGCCCAGATCTTTCGGACGAGTTGCACGGCCGAGTTAACGACTTGGTAATCGGGCCGTATGGATAGTGTGCTGGAGTACAAGTGAGGAGTAGTACTGTCGTCAACGGCATTACTTTCGTCGATAAGAGCCTTTATTGCGTGCTACGATCCTCTTTGCTCAGACTGCAGCTGCTTAGGTGAGCGAACCTTAGAAGTATCGGAGAGTAATGGGAAGCAATTCTGGCTGAAGTTGGGTGTACGAGTTTCGCGCATAGATCACGTCAGTTCGTACACTGATCTTGCTAGTCTTCATGCGAAGTACTTGAGGTACTCACAGGACTTTAGAAATGGAAAAAGGATTGCGGAACTGGAAACGTCTATATGCGACAGAGAAGACTTCTTTCTTTGGTTAAACGCTACCTAGATAACGGCTTGACATGTGCCCAAAGGTCGTCGCCGTCTTCTTCAACTCGCAAGTCTCCGGCCTAAGATCCCAACACCGCCGTTGTTCTTATCCGCATCCCATTTCCACCTGAAGTCGGTTTGAGATCGCTATCGACGTCTAGATCCCGGTATCAAGTCTCAAATACGGCAGCAAGCCCAGCAGTCCTGTACATGTCAGCCCGGTTCTGAGAAGTATCGCTGCGAATGGAAGAGTCGGAATTTACTTACACCAAGCTGTGCAGGTTCCTGCAGCAAATTAGCATACAGTCGCTCTTGTATCAGAAGCGGATTCACATACCCATCCCTCACCACAGTTGGTAGGCGGCTCTGCAGCGCATCTACGATCGCAAACCCTGGGTGGTGGGGTAGCAAGAGCAGCACGCGCTGATGGCGGCGGTTGCGTAGGACGGGTGTAGTGTTGCGGCTTTGCAGCTGCAAGGGCGGCGAGCAGAGTGATGGCGACAAAGGTCTTCATGGTGACGACGTTGATTGGAAATGTGGTTTGGGCGAGAGTGAAAGATGAGGACCGACATCAAGGGGACACATGTAAGGATATATACTTACTCGCTACCAAAAAGGCGCCCAACGCCACAACGAATGGGATTACTCGAAAGAGCATGAAATGAGAAAGGGCGCTCCAGACTCGCGAGAAGACACCTGTTTGTGCGACTTCTCAGCTTATGGCTGACGTGCAAACATCGCTACGAATCTAACACGAAAACGGAGAATGCGACAAACGAACGACAAGATATACTCAGCGGGAGCTTGGCCAGTAACACAACGCGTAGCCGCCACTGAGTCAGTAAGAGCTCAGAGAAAGGTCAGATTTCGGGACAGCATGGCATAGTAGTGTAGAGAGTGGGTAGGCGGGAACAGCGACAATGCATGTGACCATTCACAATCAGCGTATGAACATCGGGGATATGATAGCTCAGGGTGTAAGAAGGAGGCAGTTGGAAGCCAAAGGTCATGCCTGCAAAGGCTCACGCATAGTATTGATTGGAAGACAATATTCGTCGTATGACATCACATCTATTCCGCCTTCCATGCGTTCCAAAATCTCATCAAATGACAGTCCAGATCCCACTAATCTCCATCCAAATGTTCTCTAATCGGTGCAGCAACATCATCTCAATAACCCGCCCGAGCTAAGCCAAGCCCCATTCCGAGTCAAAAGTGCACTCTATTCCCTGGTGCAGCAGGACCAGCATTCCTACATCACGTTAGCTCAGACACTAACCTCGCCAATCAAAGAGCACGTGTGTAGTAGATACTTACACCAGACTTGACAGCCACCTGTCCCACGTTAGCACGATACTCATGTTAAATGCGGCAAGTTGATAACATACGCCACCTGGGCAGTCTGGCTCTTCAAAGAGACAGATCTTCGTGCAAATCTGAGCAGGTACAACGGGAGATGCCGCTACGAAAGCGGCAAGGACGGCGATGATGACAAAAGACTTCATTTTGATGATGCTGTTGGAGGCTTGTTGGTCTGTACGAGAGAGGGAGAGGATGTGCAATTGCTGCGATGAACATAGATGAACACGGGCGTACACGAGGGTAATATATACACCGTAACCCACTCAAACACCCACCAAAAGCTTCACCGGGGAACACGGTCCACGAAGATCCTCAGCCGTCGCGGTCGCATATACGCCGACAGACAGCTTCACTACTACGGCTTACACGCGAACTCAATCCCACACATACCAAATCTATACATTTGGCGCGAAAACCAGCGCCACAATGCTCCTTCCACGTGCTAAGCAAATTGACGGGGCGAATCTACCAGAAGCAGCAAATGAGCATGATGACGTTGAGGGAAACGGGTGAAACGGCTGCGATGGCGGTGCGTGGTCAAAGCGATAGGCTTTTTCAAGCCATCGAGATGATGTTGGGTGGCAGGAGGAAATGAAGTACAAACAGCCTTGGCGCAATATACTGCTTACCCGGTTTCGGGGACATGGGTTCCCCGCATTTTATGGTTTGCATGCGTAGGGCTTGCTGGGGTAAAAATAGATGTGTTTGGATTGAAGGTGTGAAGGAATGAGTGGTTTTTTGTGGAGGAAGTGTCATAGATACGGACGTCAAGAACTGGGGATTATTGCGATGTCGTCTGCGTTGATTGTTTGTACGGCAGAGATCGGCCCGTCGAAGTTCGCGATGACGCTTTTGTGACAGTTTCGTGTGCTGGCCACTGGAGAGAACTCCGCGCGGAGAGGAGATGAGCGTAAGCACCGACTTGGCACGTCGTATCTCGTATTACTCTATCACCCGAGACTGATACTACAACACCACATCAGCGCATTTCCGTCTTCTCATCTTCATGGCACCTCTCTCCGATGCCAAGTGCTACGAGAAACGCCTCTCAGCTAAAAGATGGCAACGGCATTCGGTGGACTCGCAACACCACCTGGTACCTACGCAATAGTCAGCTCATGTCTCAGAATCAGCAACTCGGCAAGACGTTACCTTCAACGGCACACTACTAACAAAGCAAGTACTCCGGCCCAACTCTTTACTCTTCTCACATAACCGCTCCAAATCCCACATCTCACCTATCATGACACCCCATCCACCCAACAGCCATTGATGTACTAAGCCACCGCCCTGCATCTCGGTTTCCCAGGTTTCACCCGCGTTGATACCACCTGGGGCGCTGTGTGGGCCTACGAGCGGAGACATTTCGAATGACGGCGCGTCGGATGCTGCGAAATTGTTAGAGAGTATTTTTAGTTGTGGTTGGAGGTGTTTGAGAAGAAGCCAAGGAGACGGTGGATCATGAGAAGGCAAAAGTGAGGTAAGACGAGCGAATGCTTACCAACAGCAGCGAACCCGTTTTCCCAAATCCATTGGAGCGTGTTTTTATCCGACTGTACGCCCAAGAACGTCGGCGGCTTATCCTTTATTGCTCGCCTTTCTTCTTCGCCTAGCTTGGCGTAGTCACGCGTGAATCCTGTTCGTAAGAGTAGCAGATCGCCTTCTCGCGTCTTGATGCCCGTTTCTCGTAACATGTCTTTTAGTTCCTCGGCCGTGATGCTGTTGGCTTCGAGCGCGTACACTTCTTTCTTGCCTTTCTTCTCTAGATACCGTGGGTAATCTAGGATAATACCCCGAGCAGTGATGCCGCCAGAATTGGCGACACGGTCAATGCCGATAACTTCCGAGGACTCAAGATCTTGCTGTGAGCGCCCACCGTAGTACTTCTTTGCACTCTGGTAACCGTAGTGGCGGAAGCCGTCCCACTGGCTACTTCCCTGCGTGTTGAAATCCAGATGGTCATCGTTGACGGTTCTCTTCGCGCCATCTGGATGTTCTTTGTTCTTCATCTTCCAGGAGAAAGATGGACGGTTAAAGGATGGATGGGATGGTAGGTTGAGATACCAGTCAAGTGAGACCCGGTCACCGGTTTGTATCTCCTGGGCCGCTGCTTTGACGGCTGATGGTGTAATCATGTTCAGAGCACCAAGCTCGTCATTTGGGCCGTATAGACCCCATGCGTTTCCGGGTGGACCATTTTTGTCGAGTGGGAGATCCTGGAATGGAGGACGCGATGGTGCCATAGCAGTGTCAAGTATATATGGAACGGTCCAGAAAGTGACAACTTCGAGGGCTTGCTGATGAGTTCACTCTAGAGAAACCACGATGTAGAAATACTTGTCGGTCCTTTGAACACCATCTGAATACACTGCTGAAGCTATGTGACGTATGGTGGGGTAAAGGGCGGGGTAACTTCCGCTCGGTAACTGACGAGGTGGAAGTGACGACCGCGACTCGGACAACGGAAAGAGCATTCTTGCCAACACGTTGAAGCGCGAGCTTGATTGCTGTCTTTAGTCGGGAGTTCACTCTCCTTGATTCACCTCGTTAGACGACAACTCGTGTAGGCGCTGCGTACGTGCTTTGGTATTGCAATACCTACTGTGCTGCAGCAATTGATTCAGAAGTCGGGTCCCATCCCTACGCCACTTCCTCTTGAGCCTGTGTTCTTCAAATGCGCGCCACTGCCTTTGAATAGGCTTTGCCAAATGAAGGCTTCACTTAACAATAGTTCAATGTCCTTTTCGGTCCACTGACGCGTTGGCAATGATTGCAAAAACATCATGACCTCTTGAAAGTCCATTTTTCGTAGCTGATCGGACCACTTTACGAGGAACGCAGCGCATACGTAGAGGTGGAATGACGAAAACCCATCCTCTTCGGCCTAGAAAAAGTCAGTGATGCACTTTAGAGTGTGGCTACGTAGCTTAC